AACTTCCTCAAGTGCAGGAGAAAATAAGATTCTTGAAAAAATGAGTAGGAGCTGTCCCTCTGAGAAGTGCAGAAAAGTGAGTGAGAGGAAGTGGCCTGTTTGTGGCTTCTCTGATCCCACATCTTTCCATCCAGGGATGTAGCCACTGTCCCCAGAGCATGGCAGAGCTGAAAAGCTCTGGACCAGGACTGAGACACACTTGTCTTTGAATCTCAGTTATGCAAATTAGCAGTCGCATAAACTCGCCCAAGTCACATATCCACTGCAAGATGGAAATAGCGCCTCACACATATACGATAAGAACTAAATAAGATCTCCTATGCCTGGCTCAGATATTTCTTTTTTCAATTTTTTCAATCACTCAACACTTTCCAATGGCTTGCTATTTTCTAGGCCCTTAGTTAGCCCCAGGGAAGAAAATTAAATGCGGTGACTGACCTCCAGCCACTGTTCTTTGACTCACTGATAAAACGTAAAAGCCATCCAGTTTAAGGACAGCAGTAGGTGTGCGCCATGTGGAAGGCACAGGGGAGGACTGGGAGCTTCTCCAAGGCATCAGAGAGGCCTCCCAGGGGAATGTTCCTCCAGCAGAGCCTCCTGAAGAGGGCTGAATGGAAAGGGGCACGCCAGCAGAGGAAGGGGCTTGTGTGCAGGCAGTGAGGCATGAAGGAGCACATTCATTCAGAGGTGCCAGACAGAGCTGGAGTATGGGGTGTAAGGAGAGTGACAAAAGCGAGGAAATGGCTGGAGAGAGATGCGGCTGTACAGCTACGGAATGGCCAGGTCGTGAAGCCATTGCGTGCAGTGCTTGCAATAAGTAGCACATAGTAGGTGCTCAAGAAAAAGTAGCTTGGCCAAATCTGTGTATTAAAATCATGAGGCCAACATGCATTATATAACCATAGAAGGTTAGCTAGGATGATCTATTTTGATCGTACTCTCTAGCTCACAAACCTGCAATGGCTTCCCATTGCCAAGTGGATGAAGTCAAAGCTGCTCATGTGGACACTCATGGCTCCTCATGTTACATCTCCATGAATTCCTGCACATTTGGATATTTGCAATTCCCTGCACATGCCACATGTTTCCCTATTTCTTATATTTTCTTCATATTACAGGTGGGAAAAAAGGAGTCTCAGGAAAAAGAAACTGAGTTCCTGAGGCCATATTGAAAATTTATTGCAGAGATGGGACTATGGACACTCAGGTCATCTGACTATCTGACCTCCACGTCCCTCAGTTTCCATTCATCTCACCAGCTGCTGCCTGACACCCAAAAGGTACTTAAAGTAGTAGAAATGACTAACCCACCGTCGTCACTCTCCTAATCTCTTTGTCCTTGCAGATTGATACTCTTTTATTTCTTTATTGTCATTTTAGTGGGGTCTCAAGGGAGAAAAGAGATAAAAGTATATGGTCAATCTACTGATGGTAACCATAGGTCTTTTTGACTCACTTGGGACACCGAAAGGGGAGATGTGGCCACGCAGGACATTCTTCACTTTTTCCCTCCCCTTGTGGATACAGTCTGGCCCACTCAAGAAGAGGCCAGGGCTACCCCTCCAGGAACTTGCTTCTCCTCCTCCTCTCACTGTGGTCACTGTGAACCCAGGACTGGAAAAGGGGGAACGGAAAGATGAGTCATGCTTTCCCCTTCTCGGCGCCCTCAGCACTAGGAAGGAACTGGCCGGAGTCTCCTATCACGCAGGAAGCTAGTGCTCGCCAGCCCCGACCTTGTCCTCTAACCTAGGCCCTGGCAAGAAGGTGAGGGCAGAGTAATAACTCACCAAAATATGAGCAACGTGAACGAGATGGGTCAGAATGGCACAGGATAGACTGACAGGCAGTAAATTCTCTCAGCACAAACATGAAGCCAGTTACTCGTATGAAGAAACCTTCATTAGATGTTTGAAAACCAGGAAGTGCCTGTAGAAAGTTGTTTTTTATTAGTCATCTTTTATGAAATAGGTATCCACCTCTGGACCAGGTTCCACCACCTCCTGCAAACACAAGTCCAACCCACAGCCAGGCCCCCAACATATAAACACTCTGGGATTCAAAACCCATTCTCATGTTTTCCAGTGGCCAGTGAGGAGGTGGGATTCTTCAGTGGAAAGAATATGAAAATCTGGATGCAGGGTCTCTGGGCTCTGCTGCTGATTTTCTCTGTACCTTGGGCAGGTCGATGTCTCTCTCCGGCCTTCGGTTTCTTCACCTAAAATGTGGGAAAGTTGGCCTAAATCAGCGACTTTGCCCCAGAAAATGGCATTCACATCAGGACGATTTGGGAAGCTTTTATTGAAAACTATGTGCTTGAGCCCCACTCTGGAACTTCACATTCTGAGCCCAGGGCAATTGGAGGATCTTGGAAAGCCTCCCCAGATAGTATAATCCTACCACTTCGCTCTATCAAAAGCCCCTAGCCTGGATGGCCACTGAGACCCTCTCCAGTTTGGCATCAATGTCTCTCTGGCTCTCCAAATGTAGGCAGACCCCTGCCCGCTAGCCAAACCCCAAACAGCCCCATTGTTCATGCCCAGTGGAACTGGCTTTTTGGATCAGGCCTGCTGTGCTGAGGAGCCTTCTGGGGAAGTCACCCTTCCCTTCCTGTGAGTATCAAGGGCAATGAAGCTTAATAGGGTTGATCCCAGCCCCTGAGGCACTTAGATCCCACCCACCCTGGAAGCCAGGGGCCACATTTAAAATGCGTCCAGCTGAAACTTAGAAAGCACCAGGAAGTCAGAAGCTCAAAAAAGCCTGGTAGACAGGACAGGGCCTTGGATTCAGAATGTTTTGTGGACTCGGTTTCGTGATTCTTGGGATGTTTGACCCTGAGTCAAAACTATCCACCTTACCAAGTCCTCAAGTGTATTCAGCAGTCAGCACGGTTCAGGTGGGCACCATATACAGCCTGGCTTCCTTCTCCCCTCCCGGCCCCAATTCCACAGAGCAGAAAAAGCCCCTAGGAAGAACTGGGGTGGGCCGGTTCTTAACAGATGAGGAGCAGGAGGCCCAGAAAGGAAAAGTTTTTACATGGGGACCCAGTGACAGAGCCCTGAAGACAGCACCACCTCCTAGCCCCCAAGTTAGGCTCTTCCTCTGTGATTTTCTGGCTTGTGTTCATGTCCAGAGAGCTGTGCTCTGGCCCGAGAGAGAAAGGAAGCATGGTCAGGCCCATAGGATGCTGGAAAGCCCTGCAGGATTCCCATGGCCAATCCGGGGATCAGGGCCTGGTGTCAATTTTGCAGAAAATGGTTAAAAACAAACGAACAAACAAACAAACAAACAAAACCCCAGCATTTCTACCTTTCAGAAGAAAGTTGCAGGGGCAGGAAGTGGCAGCAATTTAACTCCAAAATGTGCCCACCAACACCCAACAAGGCCACCATGATTCAAACGGCATGCCTACAGGCTATTGGGAAGGTCCCCTGAGGAACCCTTCTCTCCCCGGGAAGGCAGGTGGACAGCCTGGGACTCACCACAACCCGTAACCCATTTTGTAGTACATTCTGTACCCATAGCTCTAGGAACTCAGGTTGGCCTGGCCACAGGTACCCTTCTGTCAGTGTCCCTCAGGCCTGGCTCACGGGCTCAGCTCAGAGCTGGCCCACCCTGAGATTCCAGATTTGGCCTTCTAGGCTCCAGAATGAGCTGAACTGACCACAGAGAGTGCACTGAGCTCACACTGCTCACCCCTCAGAATTGGAACCGGGCCTCAAATATGCTGACCAGCAGAGCCTGGACCTCCAGGTCTCCTGGCCTTTCAGGAGGAAGATCACTGGACTTGTGGTCCAGACACCTGCATTTTAAGCCATGTTACCATTTCCTAGCACCTGGTTTAATACAGATCATCTTCCTGAACCTCTGAGTCCTCATCACTAACGCTGATATACAATGCCCTGATCTTAGGATTATTGTGAGGGCTAACCATGGAAATGTGTGTGAAGGCTTCTACAGCAGAGTCCAGCTTGTTACTTGATTTCTGAGAGTGGTATGCGTTTCCTCCCACCCTGCTAGGTGTGTCTGAGGCATCTTTATAGCTGCTCTGAAGAGCTGATTCTAAACTGGTCAGGTCCTGTTTCTCAACTGCGGCTGGCTCGCCTAGCTTTCTCATCTGAAGCCAGGGCTGTTTTCTGCCAGACCTAGCCAAAGTCTGCACTCTGTATGTTCCCTCAACCCTGTGCCCCTGATGACTCACATAATTTTCGGGGTCTGGTGGAAAAGGAAGGGTCCCTTGTTCAAAAACTAGGAATTTCAAGAGTATGACAGCAGAGACAGTACAGGTCATATACCATGAAGGCTGCCCTGCCCCTAGCAACACTCCTGTCATGTGTCTGCTTTGTGTTAGACGGGCATCCATCAGTTTACTCCCTAAAATCTCCCACTGCTCACTTTAGGTCTCCTGGCCCTGGTTCAGAAGGTGATTTTCCAAAGTCCCACCATTATGGTTTTATCATTCCAAAGTCCTTTAGGTAAAGACATTTCTCAAAGGAGCCAGAAGTGTAGCTGTGCAAATCTTCACTTCTTCAAAATGACTTTTTCTCTTCTCTCTCTCCTTGATTCAAACTGGCTGTGGACTCACTTGTTTCTTTTCTTTCCTTATCCTCCTGCACACCACATGACCACTTCCTTAAACATAAAGCTCTTAGGTCATCATCAAACAGTCTTAGAAACAATACTTCAGGTCTGTTGACCACAGAAACAGAGTTTCCTTCAAACAAAAGATAACATCTTGCAGCTCCACACCCATGAAGGTGGGACACTCTACCAGCATCCCCTCGAAACCAGACAGAACGACACCA